ACACCTCCCATGTATCCTTGCTCAGCGAGCTAAACGGCTAACAAACAGAGAACAGAAGCAGAGTTGCCAGATTGGGCGGTTTACCGCCCAATTGGGCTTCTTTTAGTTACACCTGGCGGGGAAAAAAATGCATTGGGCGGGTGGATGAAAATTGGGCTGCTTTTGCCCACATTGGTTTTTTAATATTGTAAAAACAGCCTCTGATTTTATGATGGAAAAATAAAATAAAAATCTAATTAATGAATAAATTGACAATAACAGATAAAAAAAATTCTGTGAAATTTTTGACATTAGTTGTACTCCATCCATCCATCCATCCATCCATCCATGTTCTGAACCTGCTTTGTCCACGCAGGGTCGCGGGGGGTGGATTGGGGGGGCTGGTGCCTATCTCCAGCAGTCAATGGGCAATTAGGCGGGGTACGCCCTGGACAGAGAGCCAGTCCATTGCAGGGCAACACAGAGACACACAGGACAAACAACCATGCACACACACACACACACCTAAGGACAATTTAGACAGACCAATCAACCTAACAGTCATGTTTTTGGATGGTGGGAGGAAGCCAGAGCACCCGGAGAGAACCCACGCATGCACAGGGAGAACATGCAAACTCCATGCAGAAAGATCCCAGGCCGGGAATTGAACCCAGGACCTTCTCGCTGCAAGGCAACAGCTCTAACTAGTTGTACTCAATCAAGTAATTTTTTTGACAACTCACCGTGAGTCACATTGAGTTGTTTACACTGACGTTGGCATAAACAGTTAAGCTAGCAGAGGCACTAAAGCTAAACTGTGTTAGCCTGGCAAGCCAGACTAAACAAATATGTTATTCTGTCTGGCAACGCACTACTGACGGCTCTAGGTCGTGGTGTGGGTTCTACTGTTGTCTTTCACACAATCTCCACATGATACTGGACAATGAACAATGTGACGTACTCACCACAACAGATGTCAGTAAATTATATTGTATTAGCCAGCCTCCATGGCTTCCAGTGACTGTAAATAGTTCTTCAAGTTCTCAACATTGTTCAAGTTTATGGAAAAACTGAAGCAGTTTCTGTGTAAAGGTAAGGTGTTTTTTCTGTAACATGATCCTGTTTGCACGGTGACAGTTTATTTATTTTTTAACTAACTTATTCTAAGGCATTGCTTGTTAATTTAAAAACGTTTTTTGTGGTTTGGTGTGTTTTGAAATCTATGATCATTCAGCTGCGCTGTGCTGTTCAGGCAGGTCTTGTGTGTTTATCAGCATCGGGCAAGGGTTGCCAGCATAACTAGTAATAAATAATAATGATTTGTTTTGCAATATGTCCAGCCAATTTAGTAGATTTATTGTGCTATTTGTTGGTTGCAAATCTATCATAACCTACCAAATATGTTGCAATTTGGTGATATAAAGCTCTTATAAACGTTTTCCATTGCCTTTGTGATTATTTTATGGGTTTACACCTGTGTCTGGCAACTTCATGGATTGGGCTGGTTATTTTTGATTGGGCAGGTTTTCAGCAGTGATTGGGCTGGAGACTGTCAATCTCATCTGGCAACACTGAACAGAAGCCTCGATAGAACATGAACATTGAAACACGCCTTGGCACTTCCTGATGACGTATCTCCTAGGCAACCGGGGCGGGACCAAGACATCAAGGCAAGTCTAAGGAGCTTTGAATGAAAAGCGTCTGGACTTCTTTGAGTTGCTTGAAGACGTTTCACCTCTCATCCGAGAGGCTTCTTCCGTTCTAAGGTCAAATGGGCATTCCTCAACAACCTTGTCATCCCCTATGTAGCCGGTGTATCAGAGAAACTCAGGAGGGTATTCTCCAAACACAACATACCAGTGTACATCAGACCCAGCAACACACTCAGACAGAAACGGGTTCACCCGAAAGACAAAACTCCTAAACGCAAACTGAACAATGTGGTGTATGCTGTACAGTGCAGCGAGGAATGCCCAGACCTCTACATCGGGGAAACCAAACAGCCACTTCACAAGCGCATGGCACAACATAGAAGAGCCACCTCCACGGGACAGGACTCAGCAGTTCATTTGCATCTAAAGGACAAAGGTCACTCTTTTGAGGATGCCAACATTCACATTTTGGACAGAGAGGACATATGGTTTGAAAGAGGAGTAAAGGAAGCCATTTATGTCCACTGTGAGCAACCATCTTTGAACAGAGGCGGTGGTTTACGACACCAACTGTCTGCCATCTATAATCCAGTTTTGAGATCCCTTCCCAGATGCCTCAATGCCCACGCATATCCTGGGCCATTTGACCTCAGGAATTCACATGATAGGGTGGGGCCAGGCTTCACAATGAGCTCACTCGAAACTCTGGCTGAATAGGACCCACACCCACCCTCACACCCTGGCTCATGTGTTTATGTAGAAGATCATCAGGGGGTCTTTTGTCCCCTCTTCGGGGGGAAACTCCCACTGGGTTTGAATCTGGGACTCTCCACCATTTGACCTTAGAACTGAAGAAGCCTCTCGGATGAGAGGTGAAACGTCTTCAAGCAGCTCAAAGAAGTCCAGACGCTTTTCTTTCAAAGCTCCTTAGACTACAATGACCTTGATGACTGAGAACCTTCACAGACACATCAAGGCAAGGTTGCTTGGCATTGAGAAACACCCTTGGTTCTGTTAGAGGACACGCCCCCGCCAATGATGTCAGACTATTGCAACGCCCCACTTTTTACCCATTTAAGACTAACAAGAGTAACTTTTGAGGAAAAAAGTTTAATCAAGAAGTACTTTTGCTGTATTGTACTGTAATTTCTACTTGAGTAATATTGTTATGAAGGATCACTACTCTTAGAGTGACCAAACATTCTCTTTTCCCTGGACATTTCCACTTTTCACTCTCTGGGGCATCCTGGGAGGATTTATAGATTGATGAAAATGGATACAATATTGAAATTGACTGAATGCAATTGGTGGATCAAAACAAATAACATAAGTTATGTTGGCACCTTGAACACCAACAGAACACTTGACATGTTTTTTTTTAATCGAATCGACTCATAAAACCAGTAGATCAGTAGTCCAATTCTGTGGGTGCCTGGTCTGATTTTTATGAAACTCCCACAAAGTGATCACTGGATCTACCCTTTTTTCCTCTCCCTCCTTCATTTTCTTCCATTCAGAGTGATGGCTTCGTGGGATTTCTGCTTTGCTTCTTTGTGAATTAACATTCATGGCCCAGCCCATCTTGGCTTGCGCCTGCCAATGGGAAGGCTTTCTAAAAATTGTTTTGCAGCGAGGAGAGAGAGTGTCTTGGTGATAGTGACTGGGCAACATGGCTGACCGTGTTCTATTATCCAATCAGAAGTGAGATCTGTGCATATCATTAATAATAATGAGTAATCCTGCTGTTTTCAGCCCACCTCTGCAAAAGCAAACTTCTGCATCTCAGAACAGGAGCATCATAGCTTTAAAAAAATAAATTTATTAAATGACTCATAAGGCATTCATTTACACTAGAGAACAGTGCAAATGTCTTAATGAAATGAGTTAACCACACCTTTAAGACCATAAGTGGTTTGATGTGGTTACATACTGAATATATTGAGTAGTGTAGACATAGCCTAAGAAAGCAGGAATACGCCTTGAATATTCTTAAAAACTTTTTCAAATGATGAATTGTTATTTTGCTTTCCAGACTAGATCTACAGACGTGGATAAAATTGTTGGTACCCTTCGGTCAATGAAAGAAAATCCCATAGCGGTCACAGAAATGTCTTGAATCTGACGAATGTAATAATTAATGAAAAATCTTTTAAATTTAACCAATGAAAGTCAGACACTGCTTATCAACCACGCATCAACAGAATTATTTAAATGGTCTCTCAGTCTTACTGAATTACTGAAATAGTTTCCAACCTATTTTCTTTCAGCAGCTAATGCAGGAAATAGGGTAGAACACAATTTTTAGGTTTAGCCTGCGTGTGAAATCAGAATGGTTTGATTAGATGCAGGAGGGTGTGACTTAGACTGAAACTGTTTTGAAATTGAGTTTCAATAATTCCAACAACAAACAGTTCGTGTTTATAAGCTTGACTCTCCCATATTCCAGTCAGAAGTGACAAAGCTCTTTGGATGAGAAGCAAAACGTCTTCAAGAAACCAGTCTAGTTGCCTTTATTCAAACCTCTTTGGACTACCATGGCCCGGATGACTGAGAACCTTCATCAGCAAGATGATTGCTGTTTTCATGTTCACCTGTAGCCAGTTAATCACTGGGCTGCCACTGTTGGTCACTATTTTGGATTCAATTAAAAAAGGCAAGAAAATCTTGCAAGGACATGTTCTTGATCTCCTCAAGAAATTTTAGACTTCCCTGCAACCACCAGACGTGGCACAGCAAGATACAGGATTAAACCGTATACATATAAAACGTTTGCTGCAGCATCTTAAGTTTGGTTTTGCATCCATCTGTTCATCTATTGTTTAAACAGCAGAGCCAACGAGTCTGAGCTGATGAAGAAGGCTGGCTCTGTTCTCTGAATCCCAGAGAGCAGATTGTGCAAAAAAATTTGTGCAGGAGATGCTAAATAAAAGCAGAATGCTGTAGAACATCTCTGCAGCAACAACCAGTAGAAGAGGTGTGATTCTTAACCCTTTGATGCATGAATTATGAAATCTTCAACCATGATTTTTTTAACAATTTTTTTCATTCGTCTTTAGGTGTGAATGAAACAAATTTCAACAAATATTTTTTGTAAAATTTTATAATTTACAAATAATTTATTACATGTCCACTTCAGTGTGCATTCTGAACATGAAATATGTTGGCTTGGCTTACTGAAGTCCAAACGGAGGGGCTCAAATGCAATAAAGTCTTCAACAGCTGTGCTTAATAGCAAAAACAAATAAATAACAATTTTGAGTACCTGTCCACTCTAGTGACCATTATGCATCAAAGGGTTAATCATCACATAGCTACATTATCATTGTCCTGCTGTGTAGATCCTAACCTCTGCCCTCCGTCTCTCCCCAGATCCATGGTGCACACCTCGCTGCAGCAGCTTCCTCATCCAAGCTTCTGTCAACATATGCCTGCCTTGGACTGGCTGTGAGTCTGCTCTGACAGTGTGCTTGTGTGTATGCACTGGTGTGTAGTGCACAAGCGCGCGGTTCAGTAGATGTTTGTGCACCGAAGTGTTAGAGAGGCGTGAGCTGTGAGTTTGTGCTGGTGTGGACGCTGCACAGTTGACACGCTGAGGAGTTGATGCTGCAGAGATCTTCAGCCCGTGTCACTGCGGCCAGTCAGCTTGGCCAGTTGTTTATTTTTCCAAATGGGCGTAGAGTTGAGAGCCTCTGCAGGATGAGTCCGACACTCACAGTGACCTCATGTTTTCTGCAGCTTTTGTGTTCCAGTGCAGGATTCGTATTCACTCACTCCATTCATGTTTGCTTTTCCTTTCAAAGAAACACAACACAAACATCTTCTTAAGTAAAAATGTTAGAGGGGAATTTATTTTTGATCAAATCAAATGAACTTCCAAACGTGTGTTTTCTTGATGAGATAAATGGCTGGAATTAGCTGGTTAAGTAGAGAAAAAAAGTGATTGTGGTTACTCTGCACCTCTTCGTCTCCGCTGCTCAGCTTGGCGGTGCTTTAGTTATTAGCTTTTTGCTGGAGGCTTCACTGTGTTAATTGGTATCATTGGCTGCACTTCTAATGATTTGGATAAAAGACTAGTCCAGTGAAGCTAACAAGAGAGAGAAATGATCTTTTCTAATTCTTCTGCAACACTATTAATTTATTTAGATGTTAAATTCACGCAATAACTCCCAATTCAAAGGGTGTCCAAACTTCTGCAAGTGCCGTTATGCCATTTCTGCATCTATAGCCAGTATCTCACTTGGCTGCAGCTGCTGGAGACGAAATAATGTTAGAAGATTTAGCAACTTTGCAGTTGGGATCACGCAGAATTTGCACATATTTGAGAAGTGGTTTTAATTCAACATTCATGCACTATTTGTGCAATCTTTTCACAAAATGTCTATTTGTCACTCAGTTTCTTTGTAATTCACCCCAATTGTATGTATTGTTTGATCACCAACCCCTTTTAAGATTGTCTCACATTTCTCACACGTTCCAGATAAATGAACCAAGAAGGGTTTAGATGCTGGCAGCAGTCCATCTCTGGAACGCTTCAAATACGATCAGAATTCATGCAATTCACGCAAGACATCTAGACCCTTAACTCGTTCAATTGATGTTCATGTGTCACCAGCAGTTGCAGCCCAGTGAGATCAGACGTCTCTGTCCAGTAAGTTGAGAGTAATTTTTAGTCCCTCTTTCTGTTTTTCTGCTCTCAGCGATCTTGAGGGAAACCAGATCCAAACTCTTAACTTCTCCATCTTAAAGACGTGCAGCAAACTTGAAGTCCTGTAAGTATGCACCTTCAAAACCCATTTGTTTCCTTGGATTGGAGGGCTTTTTTTTAGTTAAAGGTGTGGAACACTAAAAACCCCTTTTTAAATATTTTCTTATCATAATCAGTCAATCTAGTTTTTCATACAGGCTGAACATGAAAAAAGTCTCCTACATTAGCTTCTGAAAAAAAGACGACGAAACTCTAGGATTTCAAAAACCTGACAGATTTATGTCACACTCACTTAACATTCATGGACTCACCCATCTTGACTCATGACGTGGAAGGCTGTTGTTGGTTTAGCGTCCAAGAAACAACAGAGGACGTCTCAGCTAGTAGAAGCTAACCGTTAGCATTAGCTACTTCACCACACCGCAGAAGCTCTTCCAGGCATCTGTTGTTTGTCAAGATGAAACATCAATGTTGTAAGTCAGCTGTAGAGTTGCATTGCTGTCATCCAATCCGAGGCAAGATGTCCGAATGCCATTAAATAAGACTCCAAAACCTGCGATGTGGGTCACTGCAGTTCTAGGATATGTTGCACCGGTATATTTAGTCCCCCTGATAACGACTCACAAATGGGATCTATCGTATAGGTATCGGTATCGGTCCGATAAATAAAACAGGGTCGATATTACCAACCGATATTTTTTCCATCTTGTCTATATTTGTTTGCCTTTTTCAGAGGGAGAAGGGGGTGATGTGTTATTTTTTAGTCATGTGAACAGTGAATGAAATCATCTCAGAACTGTAAATGTGTGTGTTGTGTGTACATACTATCGTAAACTCAGCTTTAATAATTTTCATTCTATACAAAATCTTCCGACTTTAGAAGCATTAATGTCAGCATATCGGTATTGGCAAATACCAGTTATCGGCCATAAAAGTTATCTTAATATTGGATATCAGTATCGGCCCAAAAATTTCATATCGGTGCATCACTAATTTATTCCTATTATGCAAATGTATTAATTAAACGAGTGAAGCACGCCTTTAATGTTTTAAGCTGAGGATAAATCCTTCAGATATGGCTCTTTCAGATTATCTCATCTTATTAATCACACTTTCCGCTGTTATTTTAGCCATTAAAGGCTTCATATTGTCCGTTTTCAAAGCGTTCTTCTCCAAGAGTCTTCTTCATCTTTTATTACAGAGTTTTCACGACTTTCTGCTGCAGACAAAGAGCAGGCAGCCAGTGTGATTGTCTTGTCATATCTCTCTTGCCGCACTTAAAGCAAAAATAGAAGACCTGTTAAAAAGCTGCATTTTTTTAAAGCTCTAGCCGACTGTGACGCAGCCTTGATATAAAATCATCATTACTCAAGACCTCTCTTGCATTAACACTTGTTCATGATGGCTGTAATTGAAATAATAAATTCCCCAGCTTAAGTCAATAAAATAGGATCAAATTGAGCTGTTATAACAGGGGTGCTTGTCCATGCTCATCAGTCTGTAAAATAAAGTTCTGTTACAAGGAAATAGATTAGAACAATGTAATCATGCACGCAAGTTATTTTAATTCAGGGCTCAAAACACTCCCTTCTTACTTGCAGTTAACTTTGCAGCAGTTAGATTAAGGTGAGAAGTTTGACAGGTCCAATTTCACTTCTGAAGGACAGATTTAAAGGCATCTCTCATTAACAGGAGTACAGCGCCTCCAACAGCCGAGGAAAAGGCGAGAAAACAGTGCTGCTTTCTGATTGGTCGAAAGTGTTCAACCATTTTCTGTCCAAGCAGGATCGAGCACACACACATATGACACATCAAATCGACCAACTTGGTCTCAGGAATCTGGTATTCAAATTTAAATGCGTTATCTGTTACCATGGTAACACAAGTGCATAAGGATATACCCAAACAAGTCTCATTGAAATGAATGTGAAAAGCCTAATATTGAGCCTATAACATACTGCTGTTTCTTATCTTTCTGAGCTCTATACACTTAAAACTAGCAGCATAGCTGACATTTTAACACTAGTCAGAAGGCAGGAACTGCCCCCTCCTCCTTCGCTGCTCTCTCATTGGCTGAGAGTTTTCAATCTTCTTCTGCCTAAAAGGAAATACGCACCCACACATATGATACATCAATTCAACCTGCTTGGTCCCAGGAGTCTTGTATTAACTTGATATTGTGTTCTGCGTTACCGTGGCAACGTGCTTAGCAACAACATTTAACAACATTTTAGACACAACTGTATCAACATACTTTAATATAAAAATGTTATTCAAAGCTTAAAAGAGTAATGTGACATTGCACATTGCTTTATTAAAGCAGACTCCTGTCATCCGTTACCATGGCAACACAAGGAACTACAAATCACTTTAACCAAGTCTCATAGGAATGAATATAAAAAGTTGAATATTGAGCCAATAACAGACTTCTGTTTTTGATCTTTTTGAACTGTTTGTACTTAAAACTAGAAACAAGTTAAATTTGATTGACCATCAGAAGGTGGGAAAGTGCCCCGCTCCCTCCCAACTGGTTGAGAGAGGTCAATCATCTTCTGGCTAAATGGAATTACACACCCACGCATGTGAGACATCAAATCGATCGGCTTGGCCTAAGGAATCCATCCATCCATCCATCCATCCATCCATCCACATAAATCCATACATGCTTCTATCCATCCATCCATCCATCCATCCATCCATCCATCCAATAAACCATCTAACATCCATCCAACAGTCCATTTATCATTTAATTCATCCAACCCTTCATCAATTCCATACTAAGTCTGAATATATGTTAATCTATCAGTTTCAGGTATCAGTAAATGTTTCTAAATTCACAGTTCAGCCAACTGTAAAAATGTACCCGTTAAACTATTCTCATTCAAATGCCAGCTGTTTAACATTTCAACTTTTGAGTTTTTAATCAATGTTCAAAGATTTAAGTTTGCTGCTGTTTAGCATTTTTATCCATTCTCCACCTATATTCTGAGCTTTATTACACTTGTTGGTGAGTTTTGCTTCTAAATCTTTAAATACATTCAGCTCATTTTGACAGTTTAGCTTAGTTTCAGCTTCACTTCAGCTATTCAGCAGCTTCAGCAATCAGATCCAAATTTAGCATATGCTGCTAATTTCACAGTTCAGCTAAATGTAAATATTAAACTGTTAAACTAGTCCTACTGAAATAACATGTGTTTAGACATTTTAGCTGTTCAGATTTTTATACAATGTTAACAGATTTCAGTTTTCTGCTGTTTAGGATTATTTTTCTCTATTATTCACTTACTTTTTGTGCTTTACTTGGTTGGTGCTTTTTGCTTCTACATCTTTCAACACATTCAGCTCATTTTGACAGTTTTGCTTAGTTTCAGCTTCAGTTAAGCTATTAAGCTGATTCAGCTAACAGTTTGAGCTATCCAGCATTCAAACAGCATTTCTGCAAGAAATGCAATTTATCTAGTTGCTTCTTGGATTCACATCATACTTTAAATTTTACGCAAGCTGCCTTTAATTTGGCACAACCATATTCTTAATATTTATCAGACCTCAAAGTCTGGTTTCTAGTCATATTTAACGCACTGATTTTGATTTTACATCAATTGTGATTAAAGAAAAGAGTTTGATGACATTTCTTTCACTATAGTAGAAAATGTCGCGATTTACTGGATGGAATTGATGTTTCTGCTTTGGAATTTGTGCAAAAAAGAAAAATATAAAAGTGTATTTTAATAAGACCATCTATCTCTTCATCCCTATCTGAGTGTTCATCATTGCTGGTTTTTCTCCTCATCCTTCTGTTTCATGCCTCTTTTCTTCACTCAGATTTATTTATTCTCACTTTTCACCCTCTCCATTCTGCAACACCTTTATTTTTCTCACCTCTGTGATTTTGTCTCTTTGTTTGCCTTTTTTTGTTACATTTTCCTTTAGTTAATTTTAACAATTTATTTATCCAATAAGCCCTCAAATTACTGCTGAAAAAAAGTGAATTCTAATGATATTTTTCATTTTATTTTCATGCGTCAGAAATTTGTTGGATTCTGGTCAAACATAATTTGCCAATGCAAAAAAAAAAAGAAAAAGAATTATGTTCTCAAAAGTTGAAATAAAATAGAGAAGCATGCTGCATTCATAACATCAGTAAATTACTACTATTTTTTTTAATCCTTTACTATATTAGTTGTAAAAAGTTGTTTTTTTATTGGGGGAAAAATCTTTCCAACATTCAATAATTTCACACGAGTCTGAAAAATATTTAAAAAAATATACAAAACATTTTTAGATGGGCTATATCATGGAAAATCCACTTTTTGGAGCTTTTTACTATGTGATTGTCACGCTGAAGGGATGGTTAGGACCCAAAGTGTTGATTACCCAGACGACAAGAGGCAGGAGTTGGTATAAAGCAAAAATCCTTTATTCTGCAGGACGTACAAAAATAAATCCAAAGGCAGCGAGCCAAAAGTCCAAAAATCCATAAACTCTGCTAACAAGAACAAAAGCTCACTTAGAGCACAAAGTCCAAAAGTCCTGGATTTCAGGACACCGTAAGCTCACTTGGAGCACCAAAACCTGGAGACATAAGCTCACATAGAGCACGAAACAACGCTGACAAACATACAATGGACCGACAACAACACAGAGACAAGACAGGGCTTAAATAGACTGGGAGGAGCAATTATGGAAACAGGAAGCAGGTGTGTGGAGTGAGGCTGGAGGGAAGGCAGGTGACAACAATTATCTGAATGGGGAAGAGAACCAGTGGAGGGCAGCTAAACCTAAAACTGAAAAACACAAAGCTAAACCTAAAGGCTGAGGGAAGGACTAACACACATATACACTTAGCTGGGGAGAAGGAGGCTGGAGCTACAACTGGAGGGGCTGGGGATGACCTGAAGGGCTACAAACAGAAGACACACAAATAAGATGCAGACAAAGGACACATGAGGGCGCTATGAGACACAAAAGTGGAATCTAAAGAGGGATGGAAGACCTCAGGAGACACATGGGGAAAGACGCAGACACAGACCATGGCAGTGATATTGTTATTTACTCTTGAAAAAAAATAACATTTTTGGTTACATTCATGTATTTTCCTGTCTCAGATGCAAATATTGTTTTACTTTGAAAATCCTGTAAAGCCTTAATGGAAATTAATTTCGTCATCAGGTCCTGCTCCTTTCACAGAAGCTAGTCTCTGGTCTGAAATCTAGTCTCCCCTGGCCAGCACAGGATGTGGCGACTATTGTCATGTAACAGACTTGGTAGTCCAGTGGTTAGAGTGCCCTGGACTACCATATCCAATACAGCAGCTGACTCACCTAAGATGCTTTTGTATGCACGTTTTGTCGTAGTGTGCATGGGTAGAGTTTCACTGACGCAAACCGTTTTATTTCCAGGTATAAATTCAGGCTGATGAAAATAACTCACATTTAAGATAACTGGCATCCCAATAGTGCCAACAGTAATATTTTTATCATATATTGTGCCTACCTTCGCTCTCAAAGATTTAAAATCGCATGACATGGAACGTTCAAGAATGCATTCCATTTGTAGGAAGCTCTGCTCGTTAGCAAAACAACCAGCATGCACAGCTGTAAAAGTGGAATGCAGCACTCGTTAGTACACCCATGCCTTCTTTTGTCTCGCGAGTCAATTGATTGCTGCTCTTCAAAAGGGAAACTGTGATTGACTGCTTTAGTTTGCATCCAGAGTCAGTTGGAGTCAAAAACGACATTTTTGTTCCTGACCACAAATCTTTTCTGTTCAGATTATTGATGGACAACAGGATCAAAAGAATTCCTGAAAGCACCTTCCAGTCTCTGCTGAAGCTGGCTGAACTGTGAGTACATTATTTTTTTCTTTTTCCACATCAGCGAACAGATGCTCCATTTATTCGATAATCAGCAGAGATTAGAAAAATCCCCATTTAACAGATTTTTACTGCTGGCTCACAACGATTCTTTGTTTCATGGCCTAACTGAAATGTTAACTTCTTTATCATCTTTATTTATAAAGTTAACATGAGATTAATCAATCAAAAGGCCCTTTATTCACTGAAATTTGCTCTAAGTTGTTAATAATCTTGTAATGTTTCAATTGTCTGCTTAAAACACAAAATCTGCATTTAAAAATGAAATGCGGAGTAATGATAAATAAAGGCAAGCCATTAAAAATGGGCCTTTGAAACGAATACGTCCAAATGACGAATCTTTGTTTCTTGTACTTGTTTTAATTTTTCCCCTCTTTGGTCTCTTTAAGGAATCTGTCCAGCAACAAGATCATGGAGCTGCCAAAGAACACCTTTAAGAGCCTCTCCAAAACCCTCCTGAAACTGTGAGTAACCAGGGAAGTTCTTCATTATGAGTGTGTCATAATTCTAGCAGATTTGTGTGTAATGCAGCGTATCAAGAAAGAGAAGAAGTCTCTGGTTTTAAGAAAGGATTCAGAGAGCTTGACCCCTCAGGGGAGGAAAGAAGGAAGTTCCAGGAAGTGTCTTTTGATGGAACCTGAAGAGACGGCAGCGCTGTGACATGTTAGAAATAAAATAGATGATTTCATCCACCTGTGAAAGTTTGAACATGCCTAAAAGTGGTTTTCTGTGGTAACGTTTGGAAAAATTATTTCATTGCTGTAGAAAGCTCTTTAAATGACCTCAGTTTGGAGGAATAGCTATTCACAATCAGGATTACTGTCATCATAAAATAACTACTGTCCATTAAACTATTTTCTAAACTTTAAACAGACATAAATATGGCTTTATGTTGCTATTTTTAATTTTTCATTTAATGAATTGTGAAAATTTGCATTGAAACTCCTTAATGCCTCCATAACATTTTCCTAGAGGGGGGCCAGATGGGGCCAGTAAAAAATTTAGGGTGGCACCAAATAGATCTTGGTAGTAACTCTGGGAGAGTTGAACCTGTTGCTGTGCTTTGCTCCTTCGTTCTTTTTCATTGAAAACAAAAGGCATTCAACACATTTAGTCTCAAATTTGAGAAACACAAACATGTAAATAAAAAGACACAATTTCACATCATTATTTCAGTTTGATGATATTGTTTTAGAGTTTTAAAACCGTTTAATTAACCTGTTGCCATTCAGATACCTACAAAAACATTGGGAATGATACATTTATTGGAAATTGGTGAACCTGGGTGACATAAATGTGTATTTAAATTAGGATTTATTACATAATTAGTTATTACATTGTTATAAAATAAATATATTTATTGACTTAAACATTTATGTCTCTATTAAAGAAAAATAATTCATGGTTTTTGTGAACTTAGAAGTTATTTATTGAGGGTAGTGGTCTTCCCTGGTGGGCCCAGTGGGGTGGCCACGGCCCCTCCCTAGCCACCCCATGGTGATGCCACTGTTGCAGCTGGCTCCAGTTTAGCTTGTAATGCTTCCAGTTGGATTTTCAGAATACTATTGCCCTAACCCTGAAAATGTATATATTGCAAATTTTAACAAAGTTCAAGGTGGGCATGTCCAAAGTGTGGACCGGGGGCCATATGCAGCCCTAAGAGTTATTTAGTGGGACCCTCGCTTGCTTGTCTATAAGGGTGACATTTTGTTTATTCAGCAGGATGCTCATTGGGATTGGGAGTATTTATTACATTAATCTTCAGATTTTACCACTATGTTCATTTTGTACGTGTTTTAGTAGTATGAATAAAAAAATTCACATTTTATATATATATATATATGTGTGTGTGTGTGTGTGTGTGTGTGTGTGTGTGTGTGTGTGTGTGTGTGTGTGTACAGAATTTTTTTTTTTTGTGGCCTCTGAGGAATTTTAACCTGATAATTTTGGCTCCCGTATTGAAAGGTTGGACGCAAAAAAAGGGTTTATAAAACAATGTTCATGTATATTTTTAGATTATAGAAGTTTTAAGGTCAGCAGATATCCACTTTAGGCTTTGCTCTATAATGACTAGCTGTTAGCTCATCAGTCAGTCATAATTAATTTGTTTCTCTAAACTGTTGTTGTTCAAAATGCCATTTAAGATGTTAATTATTCACAACCTTTCCAGACACCTACCACAAAAGATTCATGCCTTAAACTCAACAGCTGCAGTTGGACATGTTTGTCTGTGAAATCTTGCTTATTTATCAAATAGGAAAACATTTTGTTGTTAAAACACTGTGATGCCAGCACAATGTGCAGCTTTAGGGTATAAAATAAACTAAACCAGGAGCAAAGATTGCAAAAAGTGATAATCCAGCTGAAGCTAAAAGTCCAACGTGCCAAACATCAGTTTCATTGCTTCGTAGCGTTGTTTTCTGCACCAGCTGTTTCAAAATGGCCGGTGAGCAACTAGAACAAAAGAGGAGATGGACTTGCAGCATGCAGCACTGTTGCTTCTACAGAAGAAATGCAGTCAGGAGTGGGTGTATAAGAACCATACAGAAAATCACAGCATGTCTGGAGGATTTAAACCAGCTCATCACAAAAGTCTAACAACTTCAGTTTCACCCAGACTTTGAACTTTATTGGCCAAACATTCATCATCCCGTCTGTAGAGGTTTTAGTGGTTTGTTCAGCCTTGCAGGCCTGAGGAGGTATTAATGGACAGGATTTGGAGGTTTTCTGTTTTGGATGTCGCCGAGCATTAATAAGTGGACTGGTATTTGTTTCAGCCTTTACTGGACTCGATGTGTCATTATCTCAATCTCCTCAAAATCCACATAAACCCTTCCTCTAAAATTTCCTGTACAGATATATAACTGTTGTTTTTCTTAGCCTCTCATGTCATAATTTAAGCTGCTGCTCGTTGTTTTGCTGACAGTTGGCTGAACCACATTTAGAAAACCTAAAGTCTTATTCTGATGTCTTTTTGCAGAAATATATCCCACAATCCCAATCTCCGCATCCACCCCATCCACTTCAGCCACCTGACTCGTCTCCAGTCTCTGTAAGAGCACACTCAATGGCTCGTTAGTCCCAAAACCTAGAAAAACCTTCACACCTCAGCTCTGAACTTAAATTTTTTTTGACACTTGCTTCTTTCTCTGCAGAGCTTTAGAAGGAATCGAGATCCAAGATATTCAGACGAAAATGTTTCTGCCCATGAAAAACCTGTCTCACATGTATGCATTTCATTTTTGTTGCCTCTAGCTTACTGTTTGTACAACTTACTTTCTGTTTAACACCACCGTTTATTATCAGCTACTTTATGAAGTTCCAGTACTGCTCCTACGCACCCCACGTCAGGTCCTGCAAGCCCAACACAGATGGCATCTCATCCTTTGAGGACCTTCTGGCCAACATGGTGCTGCGGGTGTCCGTCTGGGTCATGGCCTTCATCACCTGCTTTGGTAATCTCTTAGTCATCGGCATGAGATCGTTGATTCGTGCGGAGAACAACCTGCATGCTGCCTGCATCAAAGTCCTCTGCTGTGAGTACCAGCACACACCACAACTTTTACTTTGTAAGTAACCTGCGGGGAAGTTTCTCTTTGCAAGAGATGATGAAAAAAGCCCCCAAAAGCTAGTTGGAGTCCCAGAGTGCCCAATTCTCAAACCCCTCTAAAGAATCAGTGAGTCATTAAGACATTAAAAGGGGGGGGGGGGGGGGGGGGGGTTGCCCAAATAGAGGAGTAGCTACATTTTTGTTTGTAAAATTTGGTGATGTGTGTTATGAAATCAGGGACCAGGAAGAGTAAAACTACCCCTCAGTGTTTTGCAGGAGCTTATAAGGTGTACACAGTCAGACTGCAGTAATCGAGCGTGAACTAAGTAACAGCATTAGTGCTCAGGGACACTCAGTCCTGCAGTCTCACAGGTTCATAGGCAAAATAATTTGTAAGGCAGGGAGCAGAGAGTGAGCTGCTTGGAGGGAGTGGTGCATTACCTTCTCTGAATTCAAGCTAAAAGCATGACACACACACACACACAAATATATATATATATATATATATATATATATATATATATATATATATATATTCACATTTTTAAAAGGAGAAGAATAAGAAAATATCATTTCTATAGCACCTCTCAAGATTAAAATCACGAGGCGCTTCACAAAAACCAAAAAATGTAAAAATATCAAAAAGAATTTAGAAAATGGTTCAAATATACATTTAAAATGAGCAAAAAATAGACAATTGTGATTAAAAAACAAAATGTTAAGAAAGAGAGAGAGAGTGAGTATAGGAAAGAGGGGAATCAGTGGATCCTGAGGAAGGTGGAATAGGTGGGGAGAGTAGAATAAGGAGAGAGGGGTTGAAGAAGGTCATACAAAAGCCAGCTTGAACAGGTGAGTTTTCAGCTGCTTTTTGAAGGAGACCACCGAGTCCACTGATCTCAGGCTCAGGGGGAGAGAGTTCCAGAGTCTGGGGGCCACAGCAGTAAATGATCTGTCACCTTTGGTCTTTAGCCTGGTGCTGCACAACCAGTAGGCTCTGATCACTGGACCTCAGGGACCTGCTGGGGATGTAGGGAGTAAGAAGACGAACTAACTACCACGGACCTTTTGAATTAGTAGATTTCAGATTATATCTTTTCTAGTTTTGACAATAATACGTGCAGTGGTGCCATATTTGATCTTACCAATGCATTTGATCTAGTGGATCATTACCTTCTCCTTGATAAACTGTATGCTATTGGCCTCTGTAGATATCCACTTATATGGTTCAGTTCCTATCTTCATCATCGATGGGCAACTTGTCTGATTTCAAAGGTGTAGAGAATGGTGTTCCACAAGGTTTCTCTCTTGGACCTTTGTTATTCTCAATTTTCTTTATAGACCTACCACTCAGCTTTTCGGATTGGGATATTCATCTGTGTGCTGATAATATTATTTACTGTGCTAAACCAAATATCACAGACATCAAGTTTTCTTTACAAAGTGATTTTAAAAATGTTCAGTACACTTCTTCTAAATGAATCATATTCTATGTTGTTCCAGGAAAAAAGAGCATTATTAATTCTGGTGTTTTCTTAATATTTGCTTTTTAGATGCATCTCCACTTAAACCAGTTGAGAAGTTTAAATATGTAGGTGTTTGGCTGGTGTTTCATTTTGTTGCCCCCAGACTCTGTAACTCTCTCCCCCTGAGCCTAAGATCAGTGGACTCAGTGGTCTCCTCCAACTAGCTTTCAGTCAACACAAATGTACAATCTATTATAAAGAAACCTAATTTTCATCTAAAAACATATCAGTCACTTAATTATTTAACTTTCCACGTCAGAAAAATAATTGTCTTTCAGTTGCTCTTACCCATTTTGGATTATGGTTTTATCAGTTATCAAACCCCTAGCGACCAGTCTTCACTCCCTTGATGTGGTTTATAACAGAATGTGTCAATCCATTCGAACCACCGATGTGTGGTGTATGAACAGCTGCCTTGGCTCACACCAACCTACTGGTTGTGCAGCACCAGGCTAAAGACCAAAGGTAACAGATCATTTGCTGCTGTGGCCCCCAGACTCTGGAACTCTCTCCCCCTGAGCCTGAGATCAGTGGACTCGGTGGTCTCCTTTAAAAAGCAGCTGAAGACTCACCTGTTCAAGCTGGCTTTTGTATGACCTTCTTCAACCCCTCTCTCTTTATTCTGCTCTCCCCACCTATTCCACCTTCCTCAGGATCCACTGATTTCCCTCTTATCTATTCGCTCGCTCTCTTTCTTCACATTTTTTAATCACAATTGTCTATTTTTTGCTCATTTTGAATATATTTTTAACCATTTTCTAAATTTTATATTTTTAAATTTTTTTGTTTTTCTGAAGCGCCTCGTGATTTTTATCTTGAGAGGCGCTATAGAAAAGATCTGTTCTTCTTCTTCACACTTTCAGCATGATGGTTACAATTTGTCTTTAAATTTCTGTAGGAAACTGTCGCATCAATCTCTTCATTTATTTATTCATTTATTCAGCATCAGTCCTCCTTATTTTCCAGCATGTACTACCTGTTTAAGGTCAAACGCAAGATATTCTGCTTCAAGGTGTTCTGCTAGAGAACAGAATGGTTCCATCAGTTACAGCAAGTGGTCCAGGTCCTGAGGCAGCAAAGCAGCCTCAGACTATCGCACTACCGCCACCATGTTAGTGTCAGTTTGATGTATTTAACTCACGATGGACTGGGACACACACCTTTCTGAAAAGTTCTACTTTAGTCTGTTTGGTCCGCAAGAGTTTCTTGGAGATCATCCACTCTCACACACACACACACGCGCGCAAGCACACACACACACACACACACACTCCTGTCACTCAAAGCTAAAAGGCCCTTCTTTCCTGCTGTCTGCATAATTTCAGGCTGCAAGGATGAAAAATGAATAAGTCAAAAATGCTTTCAAGCCCATTTCAGAAACTGGAAAGTTTTGAACATTTTTCTTTTTCTGGCCAGCTGAAATGTAAAAGCCCGTTGACGTATCAAATTATTTACTATTCATAGCCCAGGGACAAATATTTTAGAGTCAACCTCAATTTTTTGTAAAGAGAGAGTTTTTAGTTTATTGACTGAATATTTTTGTTTTCATGCTTACTTCTCTGGCATCCAATGATCAGATGAACAAAATAACACAAGGAAATGCCGTATCTGTTTCTAATTATGTTACCACAGCTTTGGTTTATATTATTAAATTGCATTAAACAATAGGAAAATAATTGTAAGAAATGAAATAACAGCAGCCCTGCGATGGACTGGCTCTCTGTCCAGGGTGTACCCTGCCTGATTACCCATTGACCGCTGGAGATAGGCACCAGCCCTCCCGTGACCTTGCGTGGACGAAGCAGGTTCAGACGATGGATGGATGGATGGATGGATATAACAGCACAAAGATTCTGCTATAAAATAACAGCTTCAAAGTCTAACTGTGTGAAAATGTGTTTTTACTGAAATAATCCATAAATCCTTTTGACTGCTGCTAAACCCTTCAGGTGTTTTCATTTACTTTTATTCTGTTGTGTTTAAATGTATTACCCTGTCATTCAGGCTCACTGCACGCCAACAAAATGTACACAGCGACCTTCTTCTCGTTGCTCATTTAACAGTTTTTATAAGTGTAATTCTCCAGCTTCAGCCATACAAAGAAAACACTAAAGGGACACTTGTGTAAAGAGAAAGTTGATTAGTTCTGCATGAATGCAATGAGTCACTTGTTTTCTCACCCACCTGCACACATTCAGGCCTGCATCAGGTCTCCTGCAGGCCATTACTCTTGACTGCTGTAAAATCCTGTTTTGTGTCTTTTAATGAGACTTTTTCTCTTTTGGGGTTCCAGCTGGAAGCGTTACCTGCTGCCAGATGGATACATTTAGCAGTCTCACTTTTAGGTCATTTTTTCCCGGCTGATAATGAACTCAACTCTCTTATCGTCCAGGTGCAGACTGCCTCATGGGGGTGTACCTGTTTTTTGTTGGTGTGTACGATTTGAAGTTTCGTGGACAGTACAATCGAAACGCCCTGTTCTGGATGGAGAGTGTGGAGTGTCGCACCATCGGATTTCTGGCTATGCTCTCCTCAGAGGTACTTTAAAGGAATGGTTCAGAAAAATCTTAGTTGTAGTTCAGGTTGGTCTTTGAACAACCTCAGTTTGGGGACATAGCTAGTTCTGTCTGTGTTATTTAACTTTGACGATCAACTTTTGCATAGTTTTGCGAATATTATTTTAATCAAATGTTGATTGATGTTGATTGATTGATGTTCAATATGTATTTATTAAAAGCATACAGGAGACACACCTAACAAATTTATTAGAATTTAACTGGAAAATGTTGCAAAATTCCACCAAGATCTAAGTGCTGCCTGGTCCACATCGGTTTGGTTCTTCCTCAGCCGTTATTTATTTCCACTTCTATGTCAGCATATATCTTGTCACCTAACAACCATGACCCTAAACAGAAGGATTCTGAGTTCTATAAACTGTCTGAATTCCTAGAGTGTCTATCAGCTATCACCAGCTGGCTAGAAGATCCCTTCCTTCAGTTAAACTCTGAAAAGACTGAATGTCTGATCATTGCCCCTGACAGCATGGTTCCCCTGATTAGTCTAAAACTTGGTCATTTATCCTCTGCCGTCAAGACGAACTTAAGGAATTTGGGTGTTTTTGACTAATCAATGTTTCTTGAAGGTCACTCAAAAATATTGGTCCGAAACCGTTTTTATCAATCAAGAAATATCTCCAAACTGCGAAGGTTGGTGTCAAAACATGAACTTGAAATGGTTCTCCATGCCTTTATCTCCTCCCGTCTAGATTACTGTAACACACTTTTCACATGTTTTAACAAAAAAGCCCTTGACCGTCTTCAGTTGGTCCAGAACTCTGCAGCGAGGCTTCTTACTAGAACAAACAGAAGAGCACACATCACTCCTAGTCTGATGTCTCTGCACTGGTTACCTGTTAACTTTAGAGCTCATTTTAGAATCCTGACTATAACTTTTAGGGCTCTACATGGTCAAGCTCCTCCCTATATTACTGAACTGTTAAAGCCTTATGCTGCAACCAGAGCCCTCAGGTCCACCCACCAGAACCATCTAGAAGTTCCAAAGACCGGATATAAAAGTCGAGATGATCGCTCCTTCCAGACTGTTGCACCCCGACTCTGGAATGATCTTCCTTTATCCTCACGCAGCATTTACAGTCTGGACACTTTTACAAAACAGCTAAAGACCCTTTTATTTAAAGCTGCTTTTACCTAAAACTTTTATTTTCTTTTTAACTCAAAATTTTAATCTTTCATCTGTTTATGAAAATTTATAATTTTATTGCTTTATTTTTTCTGATTTTACTCTATTTCTGCGTTTAGATCTTTATGATTTTATGACTTTGTTTTATTTTGTGTTGATCTATGTGAAACACTTTGTGATTCTATGTCTGTGATAAGTGCTATATAAATAAAATGTACTTAAATCTAAAAAAATCTTCAATGAATAACTACAGGATCCATCATACTAGCTTGTTTACGAGTGTCTTTCTTATTATTTTTGACAAAAAATATATTTAAAGATGTGGAACGCAGAAAAAACATTTGAAATATCTTATTTCCGAATATAGTCAGTCATTCTGAGTTTTTCATGCAGGCTGAACATGAAAATATTCTCCTTCATCTATCTCCTGCATTAGCTTCTGATAGAAAATTCACGGTGAAACTCCAGGATTGGAAAAGCCTGACAGATCTACATCACATTGTGAATTAGCATTCATAGACTCACCCGTCTTGACTCACAACGGGGAAGGCTGTTGTTGGTTTATCGTCCAGGAAACAACAGATAACATCTCAGCTGTTCGCATTAGCAACTCCACCACATGGCAGAAGCTCCTCCAGGCTTGTGTTATTTTATGGAGATAAAACATCAACGTTGGAGTCGATGGTAGAGTCGCATTACTGTTATCCAATTTGAGACAAGATGTTCAAATATCAGGAAATAAGACTCCAAAACCTACTGGCTGAAGCTCAGCTGTGATGTGGATCACTTCTAGTTCCTGGAAATGGTGCACCGGTATTTTTTGCACCCCGAGAAAGACTTACAAGGCATTAATTCCTACTATAAATCACTGCAAATCTATTGATTAAATGAGTGTTCCACACCTTTTAAGAACAAATATGCAAACAAATAAAGCCTAACAACAGAACTGATTAAAGTTTTTAAATTTCTTTTATTGCCAAATAGTAATCCGCTCCAGCTTTCTCTGCCATCATAAGAACAAAAATCTCCCATTCTGCCTGCAATGAATCCTGGGATAGCTTTTTCCAGTGATGATATATCAGATCCTTTTCTCAAGGGGGGGGGGGGGGGGGGGGGGGGGCTTGGCCACCCTTTTAATGCACCACTGTCTGTCTCACGCCAGCCCCTGCTCGGTTTTAGTGAACAGGAACAACTTAGAGACACACAGTATTTAATGTCTTAGAAAAACATAGGACAAAGTCTGAAAGCACCTCATTTGGCATTTTTAAAAAAATTTCTTAGTTAGAAAATCCTTTTGTGGAACCCTGGCACAACATAATTCGCTTATTTTTTGTTTGAAGATTTTTTTGATAAACTGAACATAAAGAAACATTTATGAAATTATCAGTAGCAGAAAGTCAGATTGTTATCAGAAAAAATGTGAATCTTGTAAATGAAAGACTGAGTTTATTAAAGCTTGGTGCACATTTTCCCCCAGGTGTCTGTTCTCCTCCTGACGTACCTGACTCTAGAGAAGTTCCTGGTCATTGTCTTCCCCTTCAGCAATTTACGTCCCGGCAAACTTCAGACAGGGGTGAGTTTTTAGAGTCATCTATCTGACAAGATCATAAAATTCTGTATTTGTATTCATGTTCTTTGCTTTTATAAACAACCGTTCATCTAATCTACTTCCGAATTGACAGACATCTTAAGATTCAGGGTAGAGCAGGGACCCATCTTTAAGGGAGACTGCACTGAAGTATGGACACACATATAAATCTTAGTACAAAAAGACACTAAAAGTTTCATTCAGTATTTATATACTGATTTATGTACTGATGAACAAGCTTTTCCCTCTCAAACCACAAAAAAACAGCTGATGTTGTTTACATCTCTGACTTTATTACTTTACAGATTGTTATGATGTCTATGTTTTATTAAAGTGTCCGGCACCTTAGGCTTTCATTAAACTTGCTACACAAACAAACTTTGATTGTCTGAGATGTTTTAAAGGGGTCAAATTAGGCAAAACTCACCTGCTTCAACCGTTTGGGCTACCACATGGGCCTCTACTCCCTCTATAAACACTTCAAACCTGAAAAAAATGTCCATCCATTTTTGTTAGCGTTTGGTTTTAGCAATTATGCACCTAAATGGATTTCCGGTTATGGCGTCGGTTTAAAAGGCAGCAAATCTTTGAGTGCTGACCGACATATCTAAAACTTATATCCTTAATTTAGCTAAAGTCACTCTTTCCAGCAAAAAAAGCTTTAAAATAAGTAGCTAACGAGACACCGACGGAAAATAAATAAAAAACTGCAGGAAAAAATGGCTCTGAAGATGATGCTAGCAACAATCCTGAGATGATAAGGGGGAAGTTCATTTTGTGCCTAAAACAAGCTGTTTTATAAAGTTCCTGTTTGTCATGTCACAATCGGCGAAAGTAGAAAAGCTAAGTTCACCTCTCACATGCAGGAGAGAGCTGCTGCTGAAGGACTGCTGCTGAAGGAGCAGCAGCCCCTCAGATATCGGTGCTACTCAGCTTATAGCAGCGTGAGTGGGGGAGGGGTGGGCGTGGCCAGCAAAAACTTGTTTTTTTAAGTGACAGAGCCTTGAAATGGCTCATTCTGGAAGGTACTGAAACTGTCAAGAATAAAACTGCTGAAATTGCTTTATGTGAGAGGGATTTAGTGCAAAGAACCTCGTAAACATGTTTTGCCTCAACCATAGAACTATTATAACTTAAGAAAAAAGTCATATGTCCCCTTTAAAGATGACATTTTCAGTTCCAGATTTGAAGGAAAATCCATTTTATATCAATTTAGTAAGTGAACAGAATCATAATCTTACAACTAAAACCTTCACAGCAACAAAAATTAAATATTCATTAGCAGTGGAAGTCATCTTTATCTCTTTGAATAATGGTCAGACACAACCAGGAGCTGATTTCATTATCCTGGTTTATCCTCTAACAAAGGTAGACCCTGAAATGCAATCTGCAGGAGACTATTTGGCTGAGGGAAACGTTTAGCATCTGCTCTAGTTAAGAGAGAAATCCTGTTTTTTTATTCCAAAGTGTGCTTTGGGGAGTTCTGCATCTGAAATTTTAACAGCATGTGTGTTGTTCTGGTGCAAGGTGATCCTGTCTTCTATATGGCTGATGGGGTTCATTATTGCCGTCGTGCCGCTTCTGAATGAAGAGGTCTTCGGGAACTACTATGGGCGTAACGGCGTCTGCTTCCCCCTGCACTCTGACAGGCAAGAAAAACCCACCGCCAAAGGATATTCCACTGGAATATTTCTGGGTAAATAGAAGAAAAATGTTTCCTCTTTCTCCCAGTGGCAACTCAGTTTGTAATAAATAAATGTTTTAAGAATGGTGGGGAGGTTGTATTTCAATCACCAGTTAGGGTAATAAAATATTCTTACAGGATTTATAAATAATCACTTAATAAGACAAGGTTTTCTTTTGTTTTTTAAGTGTTTGGTTCTGTTTTCATTTATTTTTATGACGCTACAACAAACTAAAGGAACTATTTTTGGCTCGACTTGCTGCGGGGATCTCTCAGCAATACATGATTAGCCTGGGATCTATTACTGAGTGTTCTCTCTGAGCTGCAGTGCAAAGGATGGACGACTCTGAATGATGCTGAGATTCTGTTATTAGGGGTGCCAGCGTTTCTGTCATCGCAGGCGGGCTTTTAATAACCCAAATCCTTTGAGTTACTACTGCAATTTGTACTGCTTGCCCTAAATCTCTTTGAAATTAAAATGTGTGTGTGTGTGTGTGTGTGTGTGTGTGTGTGTGTGTGTGTGTGTGTGTGCGCGCGTGTGCATGTGTGTGTGTGTGTGTAACAAGCTCTTCTTAGAGAGCATTCTAAATCTGTTATGTCTGGATTACGTGCACATTCAGTGATAAGGGGCAATAAAAAAATCCTAAAAATCTCAGATTTTTGGGCTTTTCTGTGAAGTAAAGGGTACATTTAGGATTCAGTTCAAATTTTTGCAAAAACTGTATTCAATAAAAACCACTAATTTTTTATTAGTAGGCATTTGATTCCCTTTTAAGAGTGTCACCTCTCAAAAACAATTATTTCCCATGTCAGATGTCGGTAAAACCCATCGACATAAATATGGTAAAACCCTGTCAAACGCACAGTGACGAGAAGTTTTGCTTTTTGTTCTACAAACGGACACTAGGGGGTGCTACAAGCAAGCCAAAACTGCCCTTTAATAATTAGACCTAGAAAAAAAGATTGGATATGAATTTATTAAAGGTCAAGTTTAATAATTCAGGAATGTATGAGACATTCAAAGATTCTTCTGGAATTTCATATCTTAGAAGCATTTGTCAAATGATGAATTATTTAAACCGTACCTTGTTAAACTATTTATAGCCTATTTTTAGTTTCTGTTTTTTTGTCCCTCTTCCTTTACTGTCGAGAAATAAATATATTAAACCAAATGAAAACAAAGTAAAAAAATATGTAATTTAGTAAGTCACAACTGAACACATCAAACTGGATTGGATTTTACGTCCACTCGGTTCATTTGAGAAGGTGAACGCTTTACTGGGGCATTTAATTATAGAAAGGGCTTAAATGGGCTGCATACTTGGCTTTAAACAATCTTTCAAAAGTTTGGTCTTTTCTTGCTCCTGGCATGAAAATACCAATAAATATCAACATTTTATTATAGTTTCTTAATTTCATAATGGAACTACATATATTTTTATGTTTCAGTGATTTTATTATGTTTCTTTGAAGCTTCAAATGTGTTTTGAGACTCTGGGGAAATGTATTTTAATGGAGCAGAGATAAATGTTTCAGTGGTAAAGCTTGCAGACCCCTGGTATAAATTAAGTAAGACAAGGATTTTGTTTTTATGTTGTTGCAAATCATTATTGTTTTTACTTTCAAATTAATTAACATTACTGTTACTTGTATTACTCCTCCTGACATCTTTCAAATCACTGCAGCATCCCGCCCCATGACTGGCTTCCATCCTCCCTGGTTTCCACTCTCTTCCACCTTTGTTTTCCGAGCTTCTCTTTTCTGTGAATACTTGTGTGCGTAGCTCGTGTTTTTGTTTGTTCCAGGTCTAAACCTGGTGGCGTTCCTGGTGATTGTCATCTCCTACTCCAGCATGTTCTGCTCCATCTATAAAACTGGAATCAATGCCACAGACCTGAGGAGCAGGCTGCACAGAGACGTGGCCGTGGCCAACAGGTTTTTCTTCATCGTGTTCTCTGACGCCCTCTGCTGGATTCCCATATTTTTAGTTAAAGTTCTCTCTCTCCTGGAGGTGGACATACCTGGTGAGAAATCGTGGCGTTTTCATTTGCATTAATCCTCAAACAAAAGCCTTTTCCTTCTATCTCTAATTGTTCTGTTTCGCATCTTTAGGAACGATCTCCAGCTGGGTGGTCATTTTCATCCTTCCTATTAACAGTGCCTTGAACCCCATCCTGTACACTTTGACCACCAGCTTCTTCAGAGAGCAGGTGGAGGTTTTACTCTGCCGCTGGCAGAGGAGACACACCCTGAAGAAGGACCGCAAAAGCCTCACCTCCTCCACAATCTTCATGGAGCCGCCGCGGGCGCCTTGCTGCCAGGCGCCGGCCTACCTCCAGAGGTTGTCGCTGATCGATGCAGACCCCCGCTACGCCTAAGAGGAAGAAAGAGAAGATTTTGGGAACTACGGGTCATAAGCCTTTTTTTTATTTTTTTATTTTGACAAAAGCACTGTTTTAACATTACAAACTCCCAGGAGGAAACAATCACTGTGCTTGTTCATCATGCACTGACATTTGTTTTTATTCATTCCTACATGCAAGCAGCACCTTGGGCTTGCCGCCTTAAACCTTTGACCCACAGCCCCTTCCAACATGGACCTGAGGAGCCGGGGACCTACGGCTGTCTCCATGTTTACGAGCGGACGTGGACGACGTCGCGTCAGCACATGAGCCAAACAAGAAAAACGTACATGCACTATTTTCTGTGAAGAGACTTAAAAAGGACAAATCGTTTGTGTCGCAGCAGGAAACGAGGAAAAAGAAAATGTGACATTTCTTAACCAATAAAGATGCGTGATCATAATTTATTGTAAACAAAACTGATTTATTGTTGAAAAGCCAAAGCCTGATTTTTATTTTCATTTTTATTGTGCGGAAATAAAAATAATGCCATTTTAAGAGGTAAAGCTTTTATTTCTGTGGCACCATTAGCTCTCAGATTTACAGCCAATAAAACTTTCATGATTAAAAGTGGAAATGAAGCTGCAGTGCCGCGAGTTTATTATAGGATTTTGTTGTGCCATCTTTCAAAAATGGTTCAAATATGCATCTCCCATGTTGTTCACATTCCCTCGTTTTGTTGAATGTGTTGTCTGTGACCTGAATTTTAACACATTTTGATCACATTTCTACATTCGTCTGCTTGTGTCAGAGGGTTTCTGTGGTTTTTTTAATTTATTTTTTGTCATATTTTTCAACAACTAACTGGATGAAATCTTTTTTTAATGATATGATTTTTTAATGTAGTTATTGACAAACAAGGGCCTGACTATGTGTTTGAGACCATTTTAACTTTGTTTCACGTTCCATCGTAAAAATATATCAGCTGCACTAAATCTTGAGTGAAAAATAACAAACAGCAGAAAAGGAACAGAGGAGGAAAAGAACCCAAGGAGAGGGATGAAAAGGGTGCTATAAATAAATTGCACACGCTTTAGCCGTAGCCTGATAAACTGAAGAAAGTTGCTTCCTGTCAAGCTGTATGAATACATATTTATAATTTTATTATTCATAATTTGGTCAAAGAAGCTGCCTTCTTGTGTGTTATGAACACTTTGTTCTGTGGTTTTTCTTCTTTTATTTGGATTGTTGAAATTTGTGCTTGTCCTACCTTTTGGAAAAAATAAAAGAACGAATAACATTGGACCATTTTTTGTTTTGCATTTAAGATAAGCTTATTTTTAAATGCAAGCAGGTATTTTAAAAGAACACGGTGTATTTATTTAGAAAAACGACTGGAAACTCTACAAAGGAAGGCAACTGGCCTAATCGGATGTCCAAACCATCTCAGTTGATTCACTGTGATGAAGAGAAGCAGCGGCTTTATGGATGAAGCTTTTCTAGATCAGGGCCATTACCTTAGACTTGAAGGAGCTGGCTGTCATTTTTACTGCTGCTAAACAAATAAAGCAAATTATTTCTAATTAAAACAGACTGAACCAGGTAAAAAGTTGAGTCATTACATTTCCAAAATGATGGGTTTATTTTTACAATAATTTACAAAATAATTATATACACATAACAGATATGAATAAACATATTTTAACTGGCCCACATCAGGAATAAAGGTAGAAATTTACTGATTTAGAAATTATAGTGATTCTTTTCTGTTTTATTCTTTGTTTCATTTGGTTTTGTTTTTGCCTTTGTGATTTGAAAAGCATTTTGATGTGACAGGGTGAGTGTCCTCGTCTTACCACTTTTGGTAAGGGATATATTATATCAAATGAGTAGGGCTGAATAAACGTATAGCCTACTCCTTTTCCAAACAGCAGAATTTATTTAGTAATGCATGTAATTTAATTATCATAAAAGTTAATGTATGGATGTAAATTACTACCACTTCTATATTTCACATAATCTAAATCAAACAAAGCAGCTGCGCATCATCTCTTGCCTAATGAGAAAAGCTCCCTATTAAATTTCCCCTTCACCTCTTTCATCGCTGGATTTGGCTGCACCTGCGGCTCTCAGCATCCTTCCCCAGCAAGTGCCCTGCCCTTGGACCAAGCTGCGCCCCTAGTGACACGTTGACGGACACAGGCGTTCAGCCAATCGGAGTTGGCGTTTGCCTCCGTCTCCAGCTGCTCGGTACCTGATTGGTTGCTATGGGCGGGACCTTTACGAGCCGAGCGGTGGTGCTGTCAGCCAGAGCGACACGACTCTAGGAGGAGAGAGAGAGACGAGGCGGACTGATGAAAATAAGCCGCTGAATCACATAAACAAAGAACTGGGTCCTGGAAATGGTCCTGTAGTCTCTTGGTTCGACGCAGAAAAGGTACGAATCGCTTTAATGTTGAATTATTGTGACGTCCGGTTGTGGTTGATGATTATTTTCGGACTACAACCGAGAAAGGTCTTGTGTTAGATGTTTGTTGTAGCTCTTTAGCCTTCTAGTTAAGAGCTTAGTCGGTTTTAGTGTTTGGTTGTTTATTATTAAAAATGAAAGACGAGTAATTATTTAAATTAACGCGTTTTTCTATCAACCTTTACAAGCGAACAATACCGTGCTGGTGTGTGTGCGACAGCTAGCTAGCAACAGTCTACCAACGACCGTTGGTTTTAAATAGACACTTCATGATGGCGGTAAACGAGAACACGCTACACTACATGTTAGCGACTGGCTTTAATTACTAATGTGAAGTATTTTTGTGCGGGTTTTTTAGATCAACTTTGTTCATTTGGATCCTTGTGAGAGTTCAGCTGCCTGTCTGATGCTGAGCTGAGCTCCAGTCTGACATGATGGTTTTCTACCTTTACATGGCGTGAATTGCAAATGTTGCACTTTATTCTGCAGCTTGGATGGTTTAAACAGAGAAAGCATGTATTATTTACATGCACTCACCTTTGTCCAGATAAATGCATGCAGTGGACTCATTCACTTCCCCTTATCTGGCTAAAATAGTTGACAATTGAATGTTATGAATTGATGTTATTACAACAGTTAGAAATGGTTAACTAAATGTCAGATTATTCGCTATGATGGGTTTCCTGATGGTTTTCCTTTCGCTTCTTCCTCCTGACTTCATCTGACACCCCCTCCATCATTTGTCCAGCTGTTTCAGGCAGATCCATTGTTCTCATGCTACGTGTAACATTGAGCCCTCTATTGCTCCCACAGTACTTCATTTATTTTGTCATAATAGATCACATCTAGAGGGGATTCTTAAGGACAGCAGTAGCTCAGGTTGCAGAATCGTCTCCGGATCTGACCTGAGAATGCTGCTGTTGTGTCTTTGGGCGAGACCCTTAACCCGCCTTGCCTGCTGCTGGTGGTCGGAGGGACTGGTGGCGTGAGTGTTTGGCAAGCCTTGCTTCTGAAGCATTTATTCTTTTAATATTTAATAAACTTCAAAATATGACTGGAAAATGGAAACTTTAAAGTAAATAAGACCTAGCATATCACCTTCCATTCTAGTATTTTAAACTAAGATTCTCTTTAGGTCTTGAAAAGCTCAGGTTCTGCATCTTTAACCCCAATTCCCCCCACGTTTTAGAGCATCATGGTATTTTTTCGTCATTCATGAAGGCTCTTAAGTGAACATTTTAAGGATTCATGGCATTCCAGGCCTGAGTTCTGTTTCAGTGTTACAAACAAAAACGCTTTGATTCATTACTCCAATAAGCTTTTCCCCAAAGCTTTTGGATTTGTGATTTTTTTTTTTTTTGTCATGTGAGAACAGTTGGAAGAGATTTGTTTGCACTACTCTTTCTGCTTTGTCACAAGTGTTTTAATCCCACCACTGTTTGTGGGGTTTTTCCTGTTGTAAACACATCTTCAACATTTATTGATTCTTAGCCATCTTTTGTAAAAGTGACCCCTCACACCTCATTTTTGGAAATCTTCATCAGCGGTTGAACTATCTGCCTCCCCTCACTGTCATTGTTTCCATAGATACATCTCAGCACCTCACTCCCACATACTTGCATAACACTGTGATTTTGCCTGATTCACACACACACACACACACACACACACACACACACACACACACACACACACACACACACACACACACACACACACACACTTTGTTTGTTGTAAGAACCCTGATGCAGGAAGATGAGGAGATCCAGGAAGCAGCCAGATAAGGTGGACTAAAGTCCTGTGTCATAAGAAGACACGGCATAAACTATTATATACTTTTTCAAGAGACTGAAGACATTGTGCAAACATCCATTATTTCTGTAATTCTGGACAAGACTGAGAGACCATTTAAATGGATTTAAACTAGGCTGAGTAGCATTTGAGGAAAATAAAGTGAAACTAAAATTTATACCTAATTATTACAAATGTCATGCCTTTGACGGGCTCAAGGGGGCACCATAAGAGAGCCAGTGTTTATCCATGGCAGGACATAAGATAGTCCACACTTCTGATTGCAACACATGCTGTTTTTGTAGTAAGTACCTATTACTTTATTAAATTAAATCAATACTTTGTAAAAGTTACATGAGAAGAACAACTAATAAGCTCTGTGTCTTTGCATCTGTGCAGCTCGGTCACTAAGGGATATCTCCCCCCCCCCCCCCCCCCACCCCCACCCCCACCCCCTCCGGTCAGCTCACGGGTCCCTGGATCAAAGAAAAAAATGAATGGAGTCAACGGGGCTATAAAAGCCTTTTTCTAACCCGCTTTGCCTTACGCCACGAATCACACATATGTTGTACTTCACTTAAGCAATTACGTGGGTTTCAACTATGTCTGTCAGGTACTTTGAAATGTATTAACTTGTAAACATTTCATATTAAAATGACTACAAATCAGGCGTTGCATAAATTACATCACGTCAGAATCTCTTCTCCCCCATGGCCAGATGTAGTGGCCATGTGGCCTCTTCTCCGTGTCTGGTTTCATGACATCAATTTGGCGAGACAAAACTTTTCCCGCTGTTCGGAAATAAGCACTTTCTTGTCATCAAAATATGTCTTTAAAATTCACAGACATCATACGTGAAATGTGTGGCGCATGTGTGCAATACGTTTTGACTTCAATTCAATTCCTGAATAATGTAAGCTTAAAATGTGCCAATAAAACCTCACCACTAAAACAGCCTAAAGGAAAATGAAAGTTGTACTTTCATACCACTGCTGGTGAAATGCCAGCAGAAATAAGCAACAGCTAATACTTTTATAATAAATCATAATGTACATGATACTTTTAGTTCTTCTATGTGCTTACCTGCCATAATGTGTTTTCACTTCATTGTCATTAACTTTAGTAAACAAAAATACAGCTTGGGTATTCGTACCTGGAAGGATATTTAGACAACAAAATCTAAAAATAAATACAACTTAATATATTAGTGAAGGACATGACTGAAAGTGCTTGAAAAAACAGCCAGTGTGAGGCAAAGCTATCATTAATTTTGTCTTTCATCCAGTGAACTTTCTAGCTGAAGTTCAGTGCATAAGCCTAAAGCAAACGTGTTTAACCCCTCAGCGCTCCTGTTGGGGTTACGGAGCATCCAGGGCTCAAAGGCTAACACAGCAGCATATCTGAGCGACAGAAGGACAGTTTTCCGTTAAAGTAGAGGTTCTCAGTGAGTGTTTAAAGTGGTATGAATAAAATGATGAATTTGTTCAAGGGTGAGGGTGATTTAAAATTAGGTCAAACGTATACGAAACATTTAAGTGTTATCTCATCTGTCAACAAGTCTGGAATGGATAAATATGTAGAAATAAAGAAATGAAGAAGAAGAAAATGTTAATTATAATGAAGGAACACCAACAAGTGATCATGACACATTCTTCATGGCTTCCTTTGGGTAAAGCTCAGGCCACGCGGGAGAGGAAATAGATTTATATTTGAAACTATATGTGAGACTGGATGGCACCCCTTTGTCTCTCTGGTTTTAGCACTGGCTCCGATTCTCCTCTTACACAATGTTGTTGGCAGAGTTGTGAAAGTCAGAACAAACCATCAGACCTTGTGATTGATGGAATTATAGGAAATGCTACCAGAACTTTAAAAAAAGAGACATACTTTATATGACAGGGTGTTCACATGAAGTGAATCATTGTTGAGACAATGTTGTTTCTTAGTCTGAATACAGGCTGTCATTTTGTGGGGTTGTGTGTGTGTGTTTGGGTGTGTTGTGTTGTTTCAGTCAACCCAAGTTATTCTACACAGTGTGTGAAAGA